ATTGCGACTGACTGTCACGATTGATAGTGATGAGATCGATAACAAGCAATATGATAAGAAAAGCGTAAAGTCCGTATCCTTGTATATAGTGATAGAATAAGTCTTTTTTACGTATTATATTTATAATAATGACTGCTATTATTGTAACAGATGTTCTTACTATATATAACATTTTGCTAGTATTAAAATTATTTTGCATTATAAAATTTTGTCAAGAAAGCATGTCTCTGATTAGCTTGCAATCACAAGATCTTATGACAACCTCCGATTTTGGCCATTGCATCACATGTGAACTGCCCTATTTTATCAAACAATCAGTACGTGGCTGTGCAAATTTGCGAGAAACTTCTCCCATCTACTATTATAATAGCGGCTAATGCACAAGCAATAAACGATAATGCATGTGGATGGATTGACATGTTCTGTTTGGGCGTGTTTATTCATTAAAGTGTAGTTAATGTGTTCGAGTTTCGTTCGTGCTTGACTTTGCGTATTCAGTGGAGTTAACAGCTCCGAATTTTAGCCCCGCACGCCTTTTAAACGTGGTTCGTTCAAACTCACGCCCATTTATTGATAATCTGGCATGTTTCGTTTGGTCCTCCCCTCGCACGTCCTTAAGCATCGTACAGACACCCCCATTCATGCATGGCTAGTTTTACTGTTATAATGGGATTATTCGTTTATAAGACCCAGGTATTTTACTTGATAATGTTGATTTTTCGAAAATAGTACCGGTTCTTTTACAAAATCGGGCTTCAAAATTACTGAAGGGTACTTTGCTCGAGAAATGCTTCATTGGAGTTACGCAGAAATAGAAATATCGTAACTTTACTTTTTGTTTATCCCTTTACATAGGAGACCATACGAGAACTGTCGATGGACTTAAAATGGGTCGCTGCCCGACGAAGACGGTACCTATAAACTTCTTGATAACGCTTACAGGTTAGACGTTCATCAAAAAAGAGTAGTCTCGTCTTTCTTTGAAGGGTTGATATAATGTTTCATAATTGAATGAAAACAATCAATGTATTTCATCCGGACTAAAATCTATCCGACAGGTTTGCACGCTACTGTCTACTATGGTTACCTTCACAGACTCTTTGTTAAATTTAATGTTAATGTTGATATTGTGAGGATTAATGTTAATATTACGTATATTTCTCCCTTTGAAAAGATTGCCACTAATGCAATTATTGCACACGCCTTTCAAACATTGGTATCTCGTTCTTATACACGTATTACAATATCTGCAACGTAATTGATCAACAATCAACTGTGTGCGTGTTTGTTTACCTAAAAACCAATCTTTTACATGCACACACATGCATATCTATTTTCTGTTACCTATTAAGGTATCATTCGCAGGTTTCATGTTGTAAAAATAGTAAAAGAGAATACGCCAGCTGATAAAAACTGGTCGAAATACAGGCTTTGATCAATAATCACCTTTTGGCTGCGTGTTGCAATCAGTTGACAGCTTAATATAAAATGACCTGCTTTAGTCGGTTGAGTTCTTCATACGCCTAGCTGGAACAAAAGTTCACACTTTTATATTATCCAAAATGCATACTCGATATTTCACAATTTTTGCTATTGCCATCCTCTTTATACATTCAGCTTCCTCGTGCGAAGTGGATACTGACTGCCCTGTTGGATTTGTATGCTCGACTACACCATCAACGCAAGGACAATGTATTTACGGTTGTCATACTAGTGACGATTGTCAAATTGATGCAACAGATACCCAGAATCAGACGTGTGATAAGAATTTACCGAGATGGTCGTGTACTTGTGGAAACGACACTGTCTGTGATGGAGACGGTATATGTGCTGGTGGACATTGCGTCCTTCCTTTCAATTTCGGTATGAAGGGCATATTCTCACTATGTGGTGTGTCGTCACTGGAGAGTACTTTTGAAGATGTCTGTGCATGGCTTTTAAACCAGGGATATACGCAGTTAGGCTACGAAGCCGCTGTTATTGCATGTGATGGAGCTACAGATGGGTTTGGGGTGTTTTTTTGTGAAGCACTGGTATCAATTCTTTTTAAGATTGTAGGTGATGCTGGTGGTATTGGTGATTCTATAAATGATGTGTGTCACAATGCTTGGTTGGATGTTTGTGACTCGCTCTAAAATGCGAACGCTAGTTGTTCAAATATACCTTGTATTAATGTTTATTTTTTTATGCAAAACTGCAAACCATTTCTTTCAATTAAACGATAAAGTAAAAGTCCAATTTACACATTACAAAGCGATAATTTTCTGGTAATTATAAAACTCGTGTTCTTTTTACATTGCAAAGACAACTTTAGAGTTTCTGTGCAATCTAGATATCATCTTCTTTCTTTTCATTTTTTTAGTCAAACAATTGCGTATTGTGTAAGCGTCATTATAAATGTGAATTGATAATGAATCATTGATTGTGCGTTGTTTCAGCCATTAACTAAGATAGTATCATTATTATTATCGATCTAATCTTTAACATTGTATCACAGAAAATTCTATTTAGTTTTCGTTATCTAAGTTTTCTTTGGCTATTGTTGACAATAAACACTATGGATAAATCTGCAATATATACGTTTACGGATCATCAGGAACTGGAAAAAGTTACATTATTTAAAAATAGAAAGTAACAGATAAGAAAAGATATAACACGAGATAGTAATATTTAATGCTTTCTATTCATAGTGGTTCCATGGCTATATATTAGGCGGTGAATCTTATTCAGTGGAAATCAAGGGTAGACATGCTAATTATGTGTGCTGTGTCAATGTATCGATATTTCGCATATTATAGTCAATAATTCCGACACTTTTATACGCTAGTCCAAATTATTCATTTGTTGGTTATAGACGACGATGATTTGAAAAATGCTGCATGAACATGAATAACCATAAAAATTTGGAAAAAAGTGTTATTTATAACCGCAACTACGTTATCAATTTATTTTACAACTCCAATAACTTATCAATTCCCAATCAATCCATGCAAATCTATCATTAGTAGACTTATTGAAGGCTGATAAGAGGCGTACATTTACTAAAAATAGGCTCATAAAAAGCTCCCTTATAATAGTAATAATAACCAAAGTATAAATCAAATCATGGGTCGCCAGAAATAGCCGACAATTCAATAAGTACTGAACAAAACTTATTATACCCTTATCATCGTCATTCTTATCCAACGAATATAAACTCTCTTTAGTTGAAACATATCCATCAATGGTAGCACTCTATGATAATGGGTTATATTTACTCCTGTTCCCTTTACTCTTTCTACGACAATAGTTAGTCCTTTATTTGCACACATTTGCCAGAAATTTTTAGCTATTATCTTCTCATTGTTATTATTCCTATTATCTCTGCTTTCTCGATAAAGTAAGTGCAAATTATAAGAAGCACTTTGTTAACAGGCTTAACGCTGCAATTTTCTGCAAGATCTATGATGCTTGCTGCATGTTAATGACAACTAAATCAGCATCAGGTAGTTCTCTTTTACTTTGTCCTTTCCTTCGTGGTAAATTTGCGTTTTAGTTTATAATTATTAAGAAAATAGGTCAGATCGCAACTCTCTCGGTAATAATTCAATGTATGGAGCAACCTTTTGATTAAATACTTTAGCTGACATGTTAAAAAAAATCAATATTCCGCTATTATGTCTTTGACTGCATTAGCATCGTTGGATGACCAATTGGTTGGATTATCTGTCAGTCCAGAAATTTGATTAATGGCTCATTGTACAGCTGACACCCAAACATCACCTTCATTCATACTAGTTCATCATTCTTGAGAAGACCAGTAAAGGTCGCTTTTGGCAAATCCGCCGTAATATTGGGTTGAGGATGATATCTGGTGATGGCAATATAAACTGACTACAAGTTTCTGTAGTGAGTTTGTAGATGCTGCATAGTTATAAACTGTGAGAATGTTTTGCTTTATCCATTGCTCATGTTGTTTGATCAAATAATCTCCAATCGCAGTACAAAATATACTCTCACACAAGCGGGTAGACATTTTTCCGGTGTAAATAAATTTACAAGCGCGCAGAGAAATAGTTGTGAGGTATTTCCGGTTAGTGTGTCTTCAAAGTATGCGCTCTTTGTACATAGAACCAAGGAATGAGCGAGAAGGATCTTATTGTTTGGTTTCCGGTCGACATGAATTGAGATATCGGTATGTTTTCTGCTTTCATAAAGCTTTTCATAATCCAATAGAAATGTCAAAAAGTAATTCAACTATGTTACTCATTTTCAAGGATGACGTATATTCCTCTATAATTTCTGCGTAACTCCAATACAATGGTGTTTCAGAGAACATTTGATTAGATGACCACGGCAGGAGCAGCAATAGTAACACGAGCAGCAAGAGCAACAAGAGCAGCAAGAGTAGCAAGGGCAGTACACTAGTATATACCGAATTAATAAATGTTACTAAAATTAGGGTTCTTTTTATTTAATGTTCCTGTTTCTGTTCCTGTTTCTGTTCCTGTTTCTGTTCCTGTTTCTGTTCCGATTTTTCTCTTTTCAAATTTCCAATTTAGGTATAAAAATTGGGAACACAATGGACACAACATCAGACGTGTCCATTTTCATAAAGGAACACAAAATATGCATGAAAAAAAAAGAAAGAGAAAAAAAAAAGATGGGCGACACAGTATTCAATTATGTCAACCCTTACAGCTCTAGAAGAGTCAGTTCTTTATCACTTGATTCGAAATTTGTTACATCAGGAAACTCTTCACTATCACTAGAAGAATCTGCAAGCAATAAGTGCTTGTTGAAGTAGCAGACATGCTATTTTGCTCAATATTGAACCTCTTCATAAATGCATGTTTGTCAACAACTGTTGCTTAAAATATCTTGTTTATTTAGCAAAGAAAAATGTTTACTAATTAGCGAAATTGTTTGTTTTTCAACCACTATACGTTTACGTAAGTCCAATTTACTGTATTCTAAGTACAGTCATTATCATTTTAACAACGTGATAATTCGGACAGAAATTTGCTAGAATCAGATTTAACAAAAAACGGGATTATCCAGAAGTAAATACGCTACCTTATATATTAATATGTTGCCATGATGCAAACCGCTTAGTCGCTTAATTAAGCATTGTTGAAATTGTGTGTTGATTGTATCATATAAAATTGCGATTTAATTGAAAGTTATTTGTCAGAACTATAACACATGGTCATGCTGCAATCGTTGAGTTGTAACATTTTATGTGATATCGCGATTATGTGAACAAAATTATAATGCCGAACTGCCTAGGGATGCTGTCAAGAAACGTAAGTTTTACATAAGTGCTGCTTACGAACTTGGACTTTCATATTTCATGTAAGGCGGCTGTCTTTTCAATTAAACGTTATCGGACTCATCGTCGGAGTTCCTGCAACCGCGTTGGATAAATCTGAAGATAAAATTTTCAGCTGCGATTAGCAAATCATGTAATTTGTATTCACCAGTCATATGATTTGAGCTGAAAATCTCGCTATTGCTATTAAAATCGATAAAAAGAAATCTAGATACAAAAAATTTTATAATTAAATGAACGCATTGCATGAGAGATACCATTTGAAAGATACCAAATTAGGTTTGTTTTTTTTAATACTCTAACGTTATTGAAAATCATTTGATGCGACTAAGTTGTTTGCACTCTATCAAATTTCCCTTCAGTCTAGCGCCTTAGAGTAACGCGTAATCATCGATAATATAACGGTGGCAAGACTATTGGTCTATTATAATCCTATCTTTGTAATTAACAAATTGCACAATACAAATAATAATAACAACTATGCAACGACCATCAATCCACGAGGAAAATTACAACATTAAATTAATTCTTATGGATCCAGTTGTTTTTTTGCTCTAGTCAGAATCCGGTTTGGGATGATTTTATTTGCCAAAACAAAATAAGAGTCGATACAAATTCGTACAGTGCGTACATTTTTGACAAATACGTGGTCCCAAATCAAAGAGTTAATAGACGTAGGCAGAATATGGATAACAAGTTGTTTGTCACATTATTGCAGATCTGAACTCTTGGCTCTAGCCACAAACTTAGTCGAGACAAGATGTGGTCGTTTCCTTGAATTTGCATCCTTGGCTCTAGCCACAAACTTAGTCGAGACAAGGTGTGGTCGTTTCCTTGGCAAGTTTTTATATGCTAAAAAGATCGGATTAATAGAATAGATGTACAAAATAGAGAATTACGTAAATACATTTAGTTGATAGCCTTAGCATAAGATTTGATGTGATTCTCATAATATTATAATAGTTTGAGATATTTAATAGTACTGTTACAAGCAATGTTCACCTTGTACGACCGCCGATTCGAAAAGTGCCGCAATAAGGACGAGGATAAACAAAAACTTGAGCGCTGTAAACTTCATGTTTGATTATATTGACCGTTTGAGCTTGTATTTTAAAGGTTTGATGGCAAATTTCAATCGACCAGTTTTTGAAATTTTCCACGTATGTTTCCATGTTTCTTATATATTATACCGAGTTGCTTCGGTTGGGCTACTCTGATTCGTGCGACTCGTATGACAAAGAAAAGAGAAAGCGGCTGAGACGTTATATGAATGTAATGTGACATTAAACTTTGTTTTTTTAAAAAGGAAATCAGAATTAAATGACGATCATACTGTGGTATGTATCCTTGACCTCGGGTGTTGCTCTCCCGATGCACTCGTTATCCTGCATAACATTACCATTGTATCGACTTATTAAATCTATGAAGCCAACAGTAAGCCTTAATGTCAGATGTACTGTAATTGCATCTGATTGTGATAATTGTCTAATGTTTGACTTTAAAAGGTCGGCATCAATTCTGTTTGCTATATACCTTTTAATTTAACTTTCAACAATTTAGTGGTTTTTTTTTATTCTATTATAATATTATCTTTTTACAAGTCATTATTAAAAGTAGTAAGACTTGGTTTACACAAATTAACTAATGACTATATATTGCGAGTAGGCCGACAACACCTTACTTCAATATTTAGATCTCAATAAAAACTTTTTTGCCAGGTTGACTGTGTATGCACAACGAATCTGTCAATTAAAATAAAAAGTTTTTTTTTATAGACTGTTCGCTAATTGATAACAAACGAAAGAACTCATTATAGAAATTAGA